ACACAAACATAAAAGCCACACAGGGCATAAATAACAACAGTTAAATCTATGTTTTAATACTGATTCCTTATACTGTAGATGAAATTGGTCTAATCAGAGTACCCTAAGGATTTGAAAAGGCTAAGATTTGCAGTGATTACAGTAATTGTCTCCACGTACAGTAACTGTTACATAATTGAACTTTATTTGATAGTCATGTAAAATAATGCACTATATAATAATTAGGTTACTAAACTTAGCTTGGTATGCAGCAAATGGACATTTTTTTGTTTTCATCAACTTCCTGCAATTGATTTGATTTTTAGGATGCACAAATTGGGCTTGTTTAGGTGTCCAAAAGAATTAAGATGACACAAGTTTCTCCTATTCCTCCATTTCAAGGCTAATTTGATGTTTATGACACTTCCCTTTAATTTCATCAAGGTTTTCTTCATACAGCACTACATTTGGCTCAGTACTAATAAAAAGTGTTTAATCCCTTTAGATTTTCGAGATAAGTGTCACTCTTTATCCCTTTCTATACTGTTTGAATGTCTTTTTTGTGCACAGTTTTTGAGAGCCATGATAATTACTGTTTCTGAAGTATTAACAAAATGATGGTCTTGACAGTCATAACAAGCATGAGAATTGAGTGTACTATCATTCCACCATGGAAGATTCCATCGCCAGAGGGTTCCAGAAATTATTTGATTTTAGAAAAGTGTTCAATCTTGAATGAAACAGCTAATTCCATTTAAAGAAGTTGGGTTTTGTTTTGCAAACTCTAGGTAGAATTCTACTTGCATTACTCTATAAGCAATGTATGAATTTTTAAAAACTACGACTTCAAAACCTTTTATATAAAACTGGAATATTCCATGTTATATAAAACTGGGGTTTTCCATGTTGATCCCATGTAATTAAACGGACAGTTCACTCAACTCTGTTCTGTTCTTTTGTTTTTTAAATGGTACAGCAACATCTGAAAATTATCCAGAAAGTCAAACTGAAGAACGTTGCTGTTTCTAAATCCTGATATAGGAATACATATTTTTCTCAAAAATAAAATTTACTCAAGTGTTCTGAGCTATTCTGGATAAAGTCTCTATCATTTATAGGAGAAATAATATCATGGATATTAAGTCTGCAAAAATTTAAGTAGAAAAGTAATTATTGGGCTAGTGGATAGATCTATAATGCCCATAATTTACTTTCAAAGACGTTTCTATTTCAGATAATAGAAAATCTATTTGGGAATGATAATTCAATTTTCCCTGAAAATAAAAGAAAAATTAATATTTTAAAAAATTGTGCAATATATATTGCTATGTTCATGTACATGTTCTAATGGACATACAACTTGAACTGAATTGCCTATCAGATGTATACTATATATTTCTATTTTATATATATGATTTGCAACTTTCCAAATTCTAGTTTAACACAGATTTTATTGTTCAATCTGTTTATATGACAAAGCTAATAGGTGGTATCTATAACTGATCTTGTATAGACTGGTGTGATTTGTTATAGGAATAAGGTAGCAATTTGCATTTTTAGAGGTGACAATTTTTTTTTCAACTGTAGCGTTGGCTACTAACCTATTTCACAAAAATAGGTTAGTTTTGACCGTGCAGTTAACTAAAGTCTACATTTATGAATTTTTATACATTTGTACAGTGCACAGGGAGTCCTATTTAGAAATCAACCAAAATTATGATTAAAATATAATTTTCAGTCAATAGTACTGTCATCTAGCTACAGTTTTGCTGTGAAATTTTGTACTTGCTATGGTTTCACCAAAACATACTGTTGATAATTAACAGTATATTCATTGTTTGAATATTGATATGAAAGGTGCAGGAAGAGTGAAAGAAAATGCAGTTGGAACATAATTATTCAGGTAGTCCTTGACTTAGGAATGTAATGTAGCCTGCCCACTATGGTTGTAAGTTGTGATGTTAAATGGATCAATCATTTATCAACCCAATTTTATACCCTTTTTGTGGCACTCGTTAAGTGAACACAGTGCTTGTGAAGCAAACACATTTGTTAAGCAAGCATATAGTTCACTGCGGGCATGTTCTTCAGCAAAACTGTTGTAAAACATCATGTGACCATGGGATACTGCAGCCTTTGGAGGCTGAAAAATGGGCCCGTTTCGTCATTTCTGGTAGTTCTAGAAATACCAGAAGTGACGAAATGGCCCTGTTTTTCGGCCTCCAAAGGCTGCAGAGGCTTCCCTCGAGCTGGGAGGCCGAAAAAGGCCCGAAAATCAGCTGGGAGGCAAGAGCAATGAGGTAAGTTTGCCTGGGGCTTGTGTGCCTGCACAAATGGCTCTGTGTGCCACCTGTGGAACGCGTGCCATAGGTTCGCCATCACGGATCTATACCATTTTTGTGGCAGCTCAATTTCACTCAAATATTCTGGATTCCAGTTAATAGGACGGGATAGTAGCTACATTTTCCAAGTGCAGAAGGAATGTTTAAAATCTGATGAATAACACTGAAACATTCACATCAATTTGTTCAGATTTTGCTATAATTAAATATTTTGCTTCCTACATTTAGAAAAAAACATAAAAAAACAATAAATCTACCAGTGTATACATAGGTTTGTGCTACAGGCATTTAAAAAGTTCCTTGCTCAATACGTCAATAAATTTCTAACACAAATATTCAAGTTTCTTTTTGCTGTATTCAGCTTCTGTAGAAGCATTTCTTTTTTCTCTTGCATGAAGGCAATGCAAGTATTTTTCCCTTTCAGAACTTATGTTCATCCCAAATCACAATATACCCACTTACCAATTACCAAGTTTCTTTGTGTACATGTAACACAGAAATCTGATAAAACTATAGTGGGAATTCTAAAACAAGTGAAACATGTGTTAGAAAATGACAAGGCACTTTACTGGCACACATACAAACACAAAGATTGCCCTCCCTAGCAATAAACCAATCAAAAAATCATATAATTGATTATAATTGTCTTTAATCAGGCAAGAAGCCTAGTTTTCAGTTCATCAAAGTTGTTTCCCAAATGCAAGTGTATATAGCAGATAATGCAAAGAATCCTTTTTCTCAAACAGTTACAACGGGAATTAGAACAAGACTGATTAGAATACCATGTTGCAGAGATGCCTGTTTTTTTTTTCTTTATTGTCACTGCTATACCACTACTTACTCCAATCCCAAATCTTTTATTGGAAATCTGCTTGTAAAGGTCAACAGAATTTACTTCCAGAGCAAAATAGCGATGGTTGTAATGTGAAAAAACAATTTGAATGAATACATTTCATGCCCAATATATCAAAAGAAAGTACATTATTTTAAAGTCCCATGTCTACCATAAGCTCCTTTCTAGTTTACATGGCTCTTATTACCTGAATATGTTCAAGTCTCCCTTCCCTGCAAAATTTTGGCATTGGACAACTGACAGTCTCCATTTTCATGAAGATATGCTGAGAGAGACATGTCTGTTCCATTATTTGAATTTTACTGAAAAATACTGTAAGGTGTTATATCTAACAAGTGTATGAGAACTGAATCACAACTTTCCCCCTTAAATTTACACATATTTTAAAGACAACCCAACAGAGCAAAACATTTCACAATATACAGTATAGGATGATTAAGCAGTATAAGGAGTATTCTCATTTTATTCCTCTGATTTTCTCATCAGTTCCATATCTAAATATAAATAATTAGAACACTGCTATGAAAATGAATTGTCAATGCTAATATATGTTGTGTAAAACTATAAACTAGAAGTACACAACCTTTTCAAATATCCCAAATTTTATGGGTCACATTCTGGCACTTTTGGTGATTAGATCCTACTGAGATTTTTGAAATACATTAAAATATCAGGGAAAAATCCAAATCTATACTATTACAGTTGTAATAATATCATCACAACATCATCATGCTATCTCATTTATTCTCCACAAGGCCATTCTGAAATATTTAAAATATATACAGCTACAGAAAATAATGTGTTGCTTTTAAAAAAATATTTGAGACCACTGCCGCTAGGGAATGTCATTCAGTCAGATCTATGTATAGTGCCTATTTAGAAGTCTAAAGTGACTGCCAAAGTGATTCTGAAAACAATTTTTTTGTTTCTTAAATACTTTCCAGTAAGATGTACAATTTTCTCACATTCTTCCTTAACCAAACTTGTTTATGGACCATTTTGAAATTGATTTTAACCTATTTTATGTAAACAGCATACTGTATTATGTGCAGCTTAAATGTATTAATTTCATCTTCCACTGTACATGCAAAGGCACTGATAAAACCAGTTCTATGAAACTGTTAAGTTCCTTGGCTTCCAAAATTTTGTAAATCTTAAATTCAGTTCTTAGATCATATAAAAGTTCATAAAAGCCCCAGATAATTAATTTCATTTAAAGTGTGTCTCTGCTAGATCCAGTAATCTTATTAAGAATATAATTTAAGCCACAGTAAAAGTATGAAAATGAGTGTTACATGATATTATACATCTCTTCATATGTAAATCACCAGGGTAATAACAAGGAATGCAGCAATTGAAAGATGCTCAGTTACAATAAAGCCTCTTATTGATACAAACATAGGTCAAGGTTTTAAGTTGACCATTCTCAAATCATTTCAAATAAGGTTGAGTAACTGAATTCGCCATCACAAAGTTTCAAAAAGCCTTGCTCTGACCATGGTTTTAACTACCCTTATTATTACATATACAAATAAATGTGAAGTTCATTTTGGTCTCTCAGTTATGAAATAAGAGAAATTATAATCTAGCCCTTATATAAAGGGATGCGTGAGCATGATTGTCCAACCTGAGGCTAGTTTATAATTAAAACAGTCTTGCCGTTTCAACTGAAGAAATCAAAATATCTTCTGCTCATTATATCCAATCAACAAACAAGCTATTCAATGAACTGACAAATCTTTCTTTATAGTCCAAGGAATAAAGGTAGTTTGCAGGTGGAAATCACAAGCAAGATTTCCATTTAAAGATTCAAAAACTGCTTCCAAGAGCATGTTTAGATTATATAAGTTTATGCTCACTTGAGCTATAAATATCAATGCAAAACCACGCCTATAATCTCTAATAGATTATACAGTTGTCCTGTATAAATTAAGATTTTCCACATTCCCAATGTGTCATTTTCAAGACTTACATTTTGCATTGTAACCATATTCTATGTTAGCCAAACCATTATTTTTATGATATTCAAGTGGTGTCAACAGATATTTCAAGTGATGCAGAGACAGCTAATCAGGCCTTGAAATTTTTCTGAGCGCATCCATGTAGCAGTGGACTGAATATCTGGTTGATGAATGGTGATGTAGTGGATGAATTCTTCATCCTTTCATCAACTGTGCTGTTCTACAAAAAAGTATTATTTGAAAAATAATTTGGTTAATGGCTTTCATTCTATACGACTACAGAAATTACAAAGTAAAGCAATGTTTCTCAACCTTGGCAGCCTGAAGATGTTTGGATTTACCTCCCTGAGCATGCATCTGTAAGTTGCCAAAGTTGAGAAACATTGAATAATTTCATTAAATATGAAAGAGCCAGCAAAGTTTTAAAAAATAACTTACTATAAGACCCAATTTTGTTTTCTTTCCTTGCAAAACTAGGTTTCATTTTCCATAGATAATGCAGGATTGCTCATACCTTTAAAAAAGAAAAGATTATCTTTGAGCAATTATTTTTAATTTTGTTTTAAATAAATTACACCTTGAAGTTTACTGACAACTAGAGCAGAAGTATTGTCTGGATAAACCAAAGTGCACTCCTAACCTCCCATGTAGAGTGTGTTGCAATAGTTCAACTGCACAGTGACATAAAAATAAAAACAATGAAGGAAAGAACATCATTGTGCACTATGCAGATCTATGTAGACATTCCTGGTTGTGACTACCATTTGGGGAAGTGCAAGTTGAAAATTCCTCACAAATGGGATAGCCAAAATCCCTGCCACGCTGTCTCGCTAGGTTTGAACTTGACTCTTGTTTCTCCCCACCTTGACTCTAACAGCATCCATATGTTAAGACAGAAGCTTTATATCACTTGGCCAGTCAGGCTTAAAAAAAATATTTTATGTACAGGATATAAATCAGTGTCTCCACCTTGCAAACCCTGGAATGAGCCCAGAAGGAAAACACAATCAATGGAATGGAAGACTGCCTGATAGGTCAGAAGAATCAGGAAAGTTACATCATTCTTGTCCTGCCAGCTGTCACTCACAAGTGCTATCAATGCTCTTTCAAATACTACAATATATCTCAGCCTGAAACCTGACTGGAAAGGAAGATCATTCTCACCCTTTCTCGAGGGTTCTCTGAAGCTGTAGCCAACTGCCCTATTAAAATCCTTCCCTAAAAAAGGGAAGGTATCTGTAAACTGAACAAAAATTGTCCATTTTTTAAACACTGCCTTATTATTTTTATAAATAACTTGTTAGTGAACGTACCTAAGACTCCTCTTATTTTCCACACAACAACCCTGTGCGGAGGATTGGGTTGAGACCGTCACTGGCCCAAAGGCACCCAGCAGGTTTTCATGTAAAGGGCAGGGCTAATAGAATAGTAATTCTAGTATTTGGGGTGTGATGCTAGTTCGCCTCCTCGTGGTGCACCCTGTATAGCACGGAAGTGTAAACCAAGCGACTAGCAACAATTGGCAGCCAGACTACGTTGAAGAATTGGCAGTTAATGACAGTTGGCAGTTAGACATCTTTGTAGAACTTCTGGCTCTCTAAATACATGACAACGGATAAACAAAATGGCTCTCCTGTCCTAAGCCATATTGCACCACCAGTTCTACCAAGGCAGGAAGCCTTAGTGAAGGAGTACAGCAAAATTACAGCTCACTCAACAGCTAACAACTTTGACATCAACACACAGTGGAAAACCAAAAGGACTGCAGAACGCCCAGATACATGCAGTTATGTAGATGACCCTACACAAAAGGTGCCAGGTTTTGATCTTCCTTGCCAGCATTGGTCAACTGAATAGGATCCATACCCAACATGGTGTCTGCCAAGACTCATTGTTTAAGTGGGATCTTGTCTCTATCCCTCAATGTGGCTCCTCGACAAAATATGTGCTCCTCGACAAAATATCTATCACATTGTGTCTGATGTCCATCAGGAGCTTTTATTGGCCCAATGCCTGATTTTTTTCAACATAGACCACCCTGTCCTTGAATAGCTGGGTGGACTGGACATTAACATTTGAACTACTATAAGTCCATGTATTTGTCATCCGCTAAATAAATAAATCTAGTATATTGGGTTCAGTGATGGTTGCTTGGGACGGGATATACCACCAAGAGTGGTATTAGTAGAACCAAGACTTCAGTTCTCACAATTCTACACTGAGTTCATCTATCCTTATTTATTTCTACCATTTACAGTCAATAAGTGAAAAACAAGTTTCATTAGAAGAAAAAAATGAAATCATTTTCACTGATTTGTTCATTATGAAGGGATTTCTTCAAAGGAAGGGAAATGCCAACATTCTGAACATCTTATATAGGTATTCCTCAACTTATAGCCACAATTGAGTCCAACATTTCTATTGTCAAGTGACACAGTTGTTAAATGAGTTTTGCCCCATTTTACAACCTTTTTTGCCACAGTTGTTAAGTGAATCACTGCAGTTGTTAAGTTTGTAATATGGTTGTTAACTGAATTTGTCTTCCCCATTGATTTTGCTGGTCAGAAGGTCACAAAAGGTGGTAACGTGACCCTGGGATGAATCAGTTACCAACATCTAAATTTTGATCATAAGGGGAGGAAGTAACGGTTGTAAGTGTTAAAAACAGTTGTAAGTCAATTTTTTCAGTGCTGTTGTAACTTCAAATAGTCACTAAAATAATGGTTGTAAGTTGAGGTCTATCTGTACCAAGATATGTGCCCAGTCCAAACTTTCAGCTTGTCAGCCTAAAATCTTCTCATTTTATCTTTGGCTGAAATGATCTGATTTGATGCCTCAGTCTAACAAGACACTTTTAAAATGTACTATAAAAATATTGTTAACAATTTCTTACCCAGTTTGTTCTTTTCAGTATCTGCACTAGTTTCTGTCCAAGATTGAGGATCAGTAAGAAGGTGGCTCTTAGAATCTCGTAATGTCTTAGCCGGAAAATGATGACTATTCTCACTGTAAAAAAAAAGGGGGTTCCAAAAGTTGAATGAGAAGCAATTCCATGAACTGAATTATTTATCAGGGTGCTTGTAGCTTGAGTTGCGCCTGACTCCTAATAACAGCAGGGGAACACCTATGTTATTTTCTTGCTGATAAGGGAGAGACAGTTTGCTGGTAAGGAAAGGGATCTGCTCACCTGGCACAGCTGAAATCTGAAATCTGACTACCATTCCAATCAGACATTCCTTTGTTTTTACTTACACATACACAAACACACACGAATACACGCACACAGGCACATACACAAATAATAACCTGCTTTCTGGCTCCGTTCTCCACTGCGCACGCAAGGCAAGAAAAGTAGTCTGTCGGACGACGGGAAAAAAATTGTTCAGACCTTTCAATTTCTCATGAAAAAAAAAAATCTCGCAAAATTGGAAGGTCTGAACATATTTTTTTTTACTGTCGTCCTACAGACTACTTTTCTTGGGATGTGGCTGCCTTGAAGGGTGGGGGGGATGCGGGACCTCTGTGTGTGTGATTGAGAGTGTGTGTGTGTGTGTGTGTGTGAGAGAGAGAGAGAGAGAGAGAGAGAAGAGAGAGAGAACATCGCCACCAGCCCTGGATAACTCTCCAAGGTTGGATCAGAATCCTCCCTCTCTCCCCCCCCCCCCCCCCCGGGGTGGGGGGGAGCTTCTTTTGACCCCTCCCCCCCCCCCCCCCCCTACCCCCCCAGGTTGGAACAAAATCCCCCCCCCCCCCCCCCCCCCACACACAGATGTTGGAGCTTGCTTTCTTTCCTCCTGCCCCCTTCCCACCCCACTTATTGGAGACCCCTGGATTCCCTCCCCAACCCCGTCTGGCCCATACAGGAACCACCCGCATGAATGACGTAGAGTTGGCCATGCCCACTCAGTCATATGATATCCCCCCCATCCACGGCTACCCAGCCGGTCATTAGGAAGAAACAGTTGTTAAATTATTTGTATCTCACCACTGCCTGAAGTATAAGATGATTATTTCTATACCAAACAACAACACACACTATAATATATAAACTTACATTGAGCCTGGGTAACTGAGACACCACTTATTTCCAATTGTTTCTGCCTGCCCATTATGTTCAAGCAATGTGGATGCGCTCTTGGTCCCCTCCGTTAAATATTGTGGGGTCTAGGAAGTGTGCCTACCCCCACTGTTCCCAGAACAACATCCCCACAGGAATAAGGTTGGTTCTCTCTCTCCTGGAGTTCTGGAAAGTTGTGAAAATCTGCTTTGGTCCCAAACCTGGAATTGATATTTATTATTTGTTCAATTGTTCAACTTTGTTTTGTTATTTCTGCTGTCTATTAGATCGTTCTGTGTCTGTGATTCAATGTTTTTAGCCCTTTTTGTTTTCTCTAGCTTTGTACAACACTCAGAGTTTACCAGTGTTGGGTGGCTAAGAAATTTAAATAAATAAATACACACATGTATTTATTTATTGTTCTGTACATAAAGAAATAGTAATAATAATATATAGGCATACTTTTTATTTGCATTGTGTCCTGCAGGAGTGGAAGCTTGTTCAAGATCTTGGTTAACAAGACAGGTAGGAAAAGAGCATCCATCTCCTAGGCTGCAAATTAATTAAAAATACATATAATAAGCAAACTACACTCAAAAGCTTCCACATATTTTAATGTGGAAACAATGCTCTCTTAAATGCAGAACTCACCTGGTAAAAATTGGCAATAGCCAGTACTTTTTCTCATCTCCAAAGACTTCCCTTAGGTTTTTGCTGAAGCCCAAATTAAACCCATTTTTATCTGTTCCATGTCGAAAAACAGGTGCTCGGAAGGCCTCTATAAGAAATGGTTACATTATTTAACATTTTCAAAATAGCACGCTCAAGAGACAGAGTGGTTTGTTGATAAAATAAAATTCTAACTAAAAAAATAGGACTGACAAACCAGCCGATAAAGGAAGAAAAATCAAAGAAAATAAAACAGATAAATCAACAATTGGATAGACAGGAAGGTATCTTTGATAAGGAGAATGAGTCATGGGTAGACATTTGGGAAAACTGCCAGCATAAGTTTGTACAGGGAGAAATGCTTTGACTGAACAAGAAAGATACAGTGGAACCTCAGGTCGTGAATGCTTCTGTCCACAACCAAATCGGGTGACGACCAGAATTTTCTGAAAAGTTTTGCTTCTGGTCGTGAACATATCTTCGTGTGGTGACTGAACACAGCTGCGGTGATTTTCCCTACCACAGTGATTTCCCCTTTGTGCCATTTATTTTGTCCATGCATGCGCAATCGGTTGTGTTTCCGGTCACGACCAAATCAGGTTGCAACTGTAGTCCTGGAACTGATTACAGTCGCGATCTGAGGTCCCACTGCATAGACAAAGATGAGGAGTGTGGGAGGCAAGTAAAAAAATGGATAAAAATTGAAGCACTAATGAGAACAAGAGATGATGGATGGAAAGAATTGCCTTTTAAATATTAAGGTACTTGTTGTAAGTTGATAGAGGCAGAAATAAAATTAGGTAGAGGAAACATTAGAAGGCATATTTTTATAGAATAAACAAAAACAATAGATAGAAAGATTAGAGGTTTACAAATGTTAGACATTTTTCTTGTTATTTAAATAATTTTATGAGGATCACCTAAGTTTAATAAATGTGATAAAGATTACTAATATTGTTACTGTAATTGGATTAAGGTGAATGATACCCAGAATCAACATTGTCCACATACAATATGGATGTATATTCCAAATGTGTATATATATGTATATATATAAAATTAAAAAAAATAATTTCTTACCTAAAGTTGATTTATTTTTACTGACTAACCAACAATGATAACCAAAGAGAGAAGATAAGCTAATTGAAAACATAGCTGCTGCAAAGAACAAAAACATAATATGGAATTTGGCTTGAGTATCAGGAAGGCCATTCTATAAAGAAAGACAAAAAATGTTTCAATGTTCTTTTAGACACACAAATACATCTATTTAAAAATCAAGTTAGATCAATAATGACTGCATACAGTCTTGTCTTATTTATGCCAATGTTTTTTCCAACATGCCAATGTTAAGATGTATGAACTTCAACTTCCAGAATTTCCTGGACAGAATAAAGTCTTCACATGTTATAAGTTTCCAACTTTGAAAAATACTGATTTATATTATAACTATATTATAATATAATGGTGGCACAGTGGCTAGAATGCAGTACTGCAGGCTACCTCTGTTGACTGCTGGCCACTTGCAATTTGCCAGTTCGAATCTCACCAGGCTCAAGGTTGACTTAGCCTTCCATCCTTCTGAGGTCAATAAAATGAGGACCCAGATTATTGGAGGCAATATACTGCTCTGTAAACCACTTAGAGACGGCTGTAAAGCACTACGAAGCGGTATATAAGTCTAAGTGCTATTTCTATATTTGACCTAATTGAAGTGTTATAAATATAGGTAGTCCTGACTTAAAACCATTTGTTTAGTGATCATTAGAAATTACAATGGAACTGAAAAAAGTGACTTATGACCGGTTTTCAAACTATGGTCACCTGATCAAAATTTGGGCTTTTGACAATTAGGAATCATGTGATCACCATTTGTTACCTTCCCAGCCAGCTTCCAACAAGCAAAGTTAATGGGGTAGCCAGATCCATTTAACAACCACATGATTCATGCTTAATAACTGTGTTGCTTAGCAATGGAAATTTTGGGTTCAGCTGTGGTCATAAGTCTATGACTATTTGTATTATTATAAAGAAAAAAGTAGAGTATTTGAATGTACCTTAAGACTGTGTGCAAACTCAAACATGGTGTTTTGGTTGTTCAAATCCAATTATAGGTGTTTGTGATGTATTTAAATCATAGCTAATTAATTGTTAATCAAATTACAACTAAACACGATGAATGAACTAAGTTTATAAGTTGAAACTTGAAAAATATAAGTACTCTTTAATTGACTTCCAACCAGTTTTAAGTACTAAAAATACTGAAGGCACTTGGCCAATAAAGAATTCATTCTTTCTATTATCTATCTATCTATCTATCTATCTATCTATCTATCTATCTATCTAT